TGTCACTGAACACTGGACATCACCGGGGCTGTCAGCAGCTGTTTGGTTCAAACTGGCAACACCGAGGTGGTATACGACATGAGCTAATGCAAATGTCTCATTCCACCAATGGTCCTCGATGCCATCTATGTCTCCGAGTTTAGTCTCGTGAGGAAGTTGGCCAAATACAAGCCTCATCATCCGAGCAGTCCAGAAATTCCGAACACAATGCGGCATTGTTGCTCTGGCGCCGGCGTCATGGGTGAAGCTGCAGGGTTGTCTTGTCGAGCCCACAGCTCCCGGACAGCGCGTCATTAGCCCTGGCTTGGTTGGCTGTGCGCGAGCCGCCGCACTCCAAGGCCGTCTGGGGCGGCCCCATGCTCCGGGTTGGCTCGCCCGGAGCGCCTGAGGGTGGGCGTTCAAGGCGAGCTCACGGCCGGGCTCGCGCACGACCCACCGGCTCCATGTCAGAACCGTGACAAACGCGCATGCACCTCACACCCGCTGACCCCCGCCGTGAGAGCGGTTCAAGGGAGCGGGTCACCTTCGGTGGGAACGGAGACGGCCGGCCTTGCTGCTCCTCACCCCTCCCCCCGCAGCTCTTCACGCCCGCGGCGCCCCACACGTGAGTCACGAGAGAGACCAGTGCCCCTCATCGCCCTAGGGCTGATGAGATAGCCCCGAAAGGAGGCTCAGTGATGGACGAGACGGTGCAGCACCGACGACATAGGGCTGGGGGCAGCACGTAAGCAAGCACTCACGATTTGCCAAGCGCTTACCATGTGGCAGATGGTCTCGAAGGTCTTCACAGCCAAACATACGTGGACACCCTGGAAAATATTCGCAGCTTAATAGACGCCCGATAACATGGAAGCTAGTCTCAGTCATGCAGTTCTAGCAATGGGCGATATGCCTCATGCGCATTCGCGCGACAGGCCGAGGATGATGTGTCTTACTGGCGATATTGAGCCGAGCTATTTAATTAGATAGCAACTGCCAGCTGCAGTCGCTTCGGCGTCGCTCACGGGGTTTTCTGCCAATTATCATATGCCAACCCTCATGTTTTAATTACCGACCAAAATGAACATCAGTTCTGAAAAGCATGAGTATGGAGTGGCGAAACATGAATAATAACCCTCCGAAATGGAAGTTTTTATGCGAAGTTCAAGAGAAAGCTATAACACTTTATCACATGGCTAGTTTCCTCGATTGCTACATCCATTCCTGTCAGGATTGTTCCCACACAATCGCGCGAGACCAAATCTTTCGAAAATGCGGCCGATATAATCGTAAACTGTGTGACCCATTCACAAAAACCTTTATTTTCCTCCACTCCTCTTCTCCTTGCCATGGCAAACAGCGGAACAATAGGCATTTACACATAACCGCCGGCAAATCACAGGGCGATGAGAGCAGTTCAGAATCGATTTCTCGCCATCGCTTGCGCAGCACCCCATTTTCTCACGCCCTGTGCCCAATAAACCTGAGCTTGTGAGACAGTCGCAAGGAAATAGTGCAAGCCAAAGCGGCAGAGAAATCATTACATTCAGTACAGCGACACAATTCGAGTGGCCTTTGATCGCTTTTGCAAGCGGACTTTCACGAAGAAAATCCGTCGTGACGATTGATGATCTGCAGGAAAAGCAAGTCCCATGCTGTGCTCAGCCAATTTGATTAGTTCGCTGAAAGAAAACCACACTGCCACTCAAGCTCACCTTTGTGTGTAGAAACTAACGCTAAGCAGCGCGAGAACGGGGGATCCAGGGGTTCAGAAGACACTGACGTTCTGGAAATTTAGCATGAGCCCTACGAGCATTTATGGACGCTGGCCAGAAGCAAATGTCCAAGAAGAGCTTATGCCTTGCCTTGGAGACCGTCCATTGCTCCCCCTCCCCCACCCACCAGCGGCAACGCCAAACTTACCCCAGAGCACAGCACCTGTCAGATCAGTGGCAGCGGCTGCCGCCGCGTCGTCGGGAGCGACGCGGCGCACGGCGGCGCCGTTACGTCACGCCGGGGCAGCGTGACGCGCGCCGTGCTGCGGTGGACGCCGGCGCTGATGGGTCCGGCGCCGGGCCCGTCAGGCAGCCCGCGCCGCCGGCGCCGGCGTCGGCCGGCCGTGACGGCGCCGCTCGGCCAGCCGGCCGGCGGGGCTCACGAGCCACCGAGCGTGGCGAGCCGAGCGCCCCGGCCCGCAAGGTCGCTCCGGGTCGAGGCCGGGTGTCGGGTGACCGGGCCCGGACCCGCCACGTGCTCCGAGCTGGGTGAAGGGGAGGGCGTGGCTGCGGTTCTTACCCGCCTGCCCCCTGCCAGTTACAGGTGCTGACACAAAAGCTGTGCTAACACATCGCAGACAGGCTTCCTGAGTCCTGACCTCCTCGCCGGCCGGGACAGTAATCCTGGCCTCGCCCTGCCCGGCCGGGACAGCAGTCGCCGCAAGCTACCGTGTGCCGTGAAGCGGTGCACCGAACACGACGGGGCCCATCCCAGCTTCCAAACGACCCTTTCGGGCCGCCGTGCGTTGGTACTGCCACTGTTAGTCCAGGACAGTGCACTGCACTCGCTCTCGCTGCACTCGCTCCTGATAGCGACCGCGCAGTGGTCTGACCTGAAACCGTCCTCGCGTTAGGTCAACACAGCCCTCTGGGAAGTGCATAAGCGAGCCTGGAAGCCCTCTGAGGAGTGGATCAAAAAGTCTCACAGCCCTCTGAAGAGTGGATGAACGAGTCTCACAGCCCTCTGAGGAGTGGATGGGCGAGTCCCACAGCCCTCTAAGGAGTGGATGAGCGAGTCTCCAGCCGCTGGCGCCGGCAGGGTGTCAGTCCACCGTGTGACCATCCAAATCACATCCGGTCGCAGAAAAACGGAGGCGTGATGACGCCGGATAGTGGAAGGGCGCTGCTAGGCATGTCAGACGATGGGAACGTCTGGGCCAGGACTCGGAACGACAGTGAGATGGTGTTCACAAAGGAGGCAGAAAAACGCCTCGGTCGCTTCAGCGAATGTATGGGTGATATTCCGCGCCTCGCATGTCAGCCAATTTTCTCGGGACCAAACGGGGGCTCCTGCTACAATAGAAAGGCATCGGTGTGTCATTGGAGGATTCTAGAGGCTGTGCTCATGCACCGGTGTTTTGGCACCACGAATGCCTCTCCGGTGGCTAGCCCTCACGTGACGCCGTCCGCCCTGCTCTGATAAGTCTGACTCGGTTCCGGCAGTCCCAATTTCAAAGCCGCATAGCATCGGGTCATGATGCACAGCGACGAACCATTCCCCAGTCAGTACCGCTGACAACCAGCGGCGTACGTCAGCGCAGCACGGGCTCGTTGGCGCCCGTTAAAGTGGGCGTAGCTCTGAGACGGGTCGTGGCAACGGAACGACAGCGCTGCGCCGCTCCTATTCAAGTCAGGCGCTCCAGGGAGGTCGCGGAGAGGAGCGGGAAACAGCTCAAACCCGCATTACTATGCACACCTCGCCAGAGGTCCGGCCGTTTCCAAGTGATTTGAGGCGCGGTGATGACGGCAGCGAGACCATCTTTTGCAACGGGTCGTCCGGGCGCGCGCGTGTCGGGGCGGCTCGTTCCCACTGATTACACCTCTCACGGGGTCGGCCCGGCGCCCTGGGCGGCGCATCCCGACACCTGGGGCGGGTCGACTGGCGCAACGGTGTGGCGCAAGGCTGCGGCGCGCCTGGCAGATGTCCCCGCCATCCATCAGCCGATGGCGCCGGCGGCGCGGCCGCGTCGGCCGGCCGCCCGCCCGCGCTTTTAGCGCCTCTCACGGCGTGTAAACAGGCGCCGCGCCTCCCCGGCGGGAGGCGTGGGGCGCGCCGCGGCTGGGGAGGCACCGGTTCGGCCAGTGTGCCGCCGCGCTGCTGACCTCAATCTCTCTCGCTTTACATTTTCCAATGATGTGCCTTCGTGGCGGGTCAGACATGTCTGCGTCCGCGCCATCCGTGTGTGTGTGTGTGTGTGTGTGTGTGTGTGTGTGTGTGTGTGTGTGTGTGTGTGTGTGTGTGTGTGTGTGTGTGTGTGTGTGTGTGTGTGTGTGTGTGTGTGTGTGTGTGTGTGTGTGTGTGTGTGCGCGCGCATGGATGTGTGTAATTTTTCTGTTACAAAATCGCGTGTCAAAGGTCAGGCAGCGCTGGGTTCGAGCATCACAGGGCGCAGCTGGCCGCGGTGAAAACATTGCACAATTGGCCAATTGCCGAGCCCTGGCGCCGATGGCGGGCGGCCCGGGTCGGGTCGGGTCAGGTCAGGCGTGACTGAGGTCAGCCAGCGTTCCCGAGACGGCGGACGCCGCCGCCGCTCATGATGCGCGGGTCACGAGGATGGGCGGCCAGTGATAAACGGCCATGACCGCGGAGCGGGTGAGTGAATGGAATTGAATGGAGATGACGGAAAATTACCGGTGGATGCCTGTCACGTTAGCGTGATAGTATTGACTGTGAAACTAATGGCTTCCGATCCAATTCGTGACTCAAGCTTACCGTTCCGGAATGCGCCCATGAGCTGGATAAGTTGGAATATGATCGCTTATAATCCTGCGACTGTCTCGCTTAAATGAATATGCTGGTCAAGCTAAAGATGATAAAATGCAATATAAAAAACGTATGCATAGTTACATCAATTTCATAAGGGTGATTTAAACATATGCAAAACTGAAGGTGCACTGATATTATCTGCGAACAGGCTGCAAGCAGTAAATAGTTGGCATTGCTATTCATTTCAAATAAAGTCGTGGCATTTCATGACTAAGGTCTAGATCGTGTTTAAAGCCTAGACGACGTTACCGGATATACCGCCCTCCACTGCACACCATGAGGGTATTACATGGCTACACGTCCAGGTGAACATGATTTCATTCACGGTGGTTACGGACATGACTTCGTTCACATGGTTTCGTTAACGGTGGTAACGCTCATGGTTATGCTCATGGTGATTACATGGTTTCGTTCACGGTGGTTACATGGTTCCGTTCATGACGATTACATGGTTTCGATCACGGTGGTCACATGGTTGCGTTCATGGTGGTTACATGGTTCCGTTGTTCACAGGCGGAGGAACCGCTCATCGCGCCGAAAGAGCAGCGGGTAAGTGAACGATGCGACCTTCGGACGCCGTGGAGCCCGCTCCCACCCACGGGCGCCCCACGTGACCGCCCAGACGGCTCCAGTATGCATGGCGACTGACTCCGTGTCCTTCATTGTGTTGTCTCTTCAATCACGCACACCCTGCAAATGTGGCGGCTCGCCAGAAAGATGAGCTACTCTCAGCTTTCGCCTGGAGTCAGGGAGGAATGACTCACGAAAAGCATCTAAATTTTAGACCGGGAGCTGCAGCCACGGCGGCGTGTTTGCAGGGTGTGCTTGCACTTTCTCCCTGGGACTTGGACCCGCACCAACTTCTTCGGTTTCACCTGTCTGACGCGCAAGTTGAGTCCTTCGATTGCTTATGTATGTGCATACACCACTCCTTCTTGCCGGACGCTGTTACTGACGAGTAGAGTAGCGACGTAGCGCATCTGGTCGGACATGACCTAATCGGCTCTCTATCAATCTTCTGTTTCTGACTTACTATGACAATACTTGGACACCCTGAATAAAATTGGATAGCATCGATGTTTTTCGTAAAACTCTGATTTGACTAGATGGCGTGACGCTGATTGGAAATACCAATCTGCAATACATCTTGAGAGAAATGAACGCCTCGTGTTAGTTCATTTCCATCGTACACACTTATTTCAACAAGTCATCCTCGTAGCCAACTTTACATTGGCACGCCAGATTAGCAGACGGTGAAAAGGCTCTCTTCCGCATTTTGCTCGTGCACATCCGAACCACTGGTTTCTTTGAATGTTTCTATGCCTTGTCAGCTTTTGCACATACTCTTCCGTATGCCCTGTCTAATCTTTTTGTACCGTCTTCTCTGTTCTGTCAGATATTCAAGTCGAAATCAATGGTGATCTCACGACGACCAAATACCTGACCACCACCCGACCCCTTCCCACCGGCGTCCTCTTGTCCACGGCGCCTACTTTTGTCTCGGACGGCACCACATCCGAGTACACCACACTGGTCATCGGCACCGTCGCCAACGGCTTCTACTCGCGCATCGTGAGCACGGCCGAGCGCGTCTTCTACGCCATCCCGCGTTCAGGCGACCGGCCGCAACCGACCGGCGTGGTCTCGGAGGCGGTGAGCACGGAGGTGCAGGGTGGCGCCACCACCGTGCACCGCACGCGCTACATCCGCACCTCGCTGGGCGCCAGCTACGGCCAGGTGATCGAGCGGAGCAGCTCGGTGGTGCCGGAGCTGCAGAGCAGCCAGGCGGAGCCGGAGGAGCTGCTGCCGACGGTCACCGTCGGCGAGCCGCCCCAGTACGCCAGCTTCGCGCCGCACTTCACCGCCGAGCCGGTGGAGCTGAACGAGATCCCGCAGGCGCGTCGCGTCGTGGAGGGCGAGGAGATCATCATCGTGGATGACGTCGCACACCCAGACACCAGCCGCAAGATCCTGCCGACCTACACGGCCGATGGAAACCTGCTGGTGCTCAACACACCGCTCGTTGTAGTGCCGAACAGGGCGTCTTTCGAGAAGACGCAGGAGCTCCTCAACGAGAAGGTGAACAAGATGGTGAAGGATCTGGGTCTTGAGGAGCAGAGCACTCGAGTGTCAAGGGACTTCAACGACCTGGAGACCATCGAGATCCTGGAGGATTTGGCCCTCAGTGGTAGCGAGCTGACTACGGTGACGTATGTGGGTTTCTCCGACTTCGTCACCACCATTGGGAGCACCGTCGTGGTCTTCATGCCACAATCGGCGGGCGCAGCGAAGATCCGAGAGAAGATGAGCAAGACGGCTGGGCCCAACTTTGTGGGTCCAACGAGAGCTGGCAAGGACATCTTGCTTAGCCGTGCGCCGGTCTTCATTCCGAACCGCGGCGATGTCATCACAACGACTCGGACATTCGTCTCACACGATAAGATGGGCACGAAAACCGTTGAGGGTCACGACATCGAGGTAAAGAAAAACATGGCGACGTTAGTTGCCGGTAGGCCCGTGGAGACGGTGGTAATGAACAAAGATGAAGGAACCGTCACGCGGTTGGGAGCCGATTCCGTCGTTTCCGACAACGCCAACACAAACGTTCTCTCCACAGCCAGCACCAGGGTATACAACACTGTTGACCTTTACCCTACCGGCCTGGTGACCTCGATCGGAGGCACAGTGGCGCGTGATAAGGTCACCACCGTATTCACCACCCTCGTGTATGGCACCTTCATCAAGGGCCGCTACGCAAAGGTTGTAAAGAGCACGTCCAGCATCTACTATCTCGTGTCGAAGACGGACAGTTTCCAGCCTACCCCCGTTGTACAGGCCGCTCCGTCTACCCTTCCTATAATCAACAACAGTCTGGGAAGAGCTGTCGGCAGCAGCGCAGCGGCTCAGGTGATCGTCGCTAGCGCGGACGAGGCCAAGGCAGCGCTGAAGAACTCGCAGCTGGAGGGCAGCATCGACACGTCGTCGGCGCCGGCCCTGTTCTCCTCGCAGGCCGACAGCGAGGAGGAGAAGTCCGTGCTCAAGACATACTACACCACCTTCACTTATTTCACCACCCTTTCCAGCGGTGGGTCCACTGAGGTAAAGACCAGCCTGAGCACGGTGACCAGCGTGGCCACGGAAGGCCTGCAACCGGCACCGCTGACCTACTTTACCACCTTCACGTACTTCACAACGTCCCAGTTGGATGGCCGGGAAACCGTGTCCACTCGTTACGTTACAGAGTCGCAGGTGGTGACGCCCACCAAGGCGTCGTTTGTCAGCAACACCGAGTCGCTCAAGCACGTGACCAAGACGTTTTTCACCACGTACACGTATTTCACCACCTCCTACGCCGGGGAGAGCAGCATTGTGCAGAGCCGCCTGGTCGTTAGCAGCAACGTGGTGACGTCCAGCGTGCCTGTGTCCAGTTCGGTGGCTGCTCCCAGTGCCAAAGTGACCAAGGCGGGGGCATCGGCAGCACAGTACAGCACCGGTCTACTGTCTTCCCGCGTCTCCTCAGAGGTGAACAACGGCACCACCACCCTCTCCTCTACCGGCTACTTCGGCACCTCTGTAAACGGCTTGTATGCGCAGATCATCCAAAGCACGACGCAAGTCGTTGAATCTCCGAAATTATCTAGCTCGGTGCAGCCTATTGCTGCAACGCAAGCCAAGAAGGGACCGGTGTCAAGCTCTTTGGTGGTGAACAGCGGAGTTAGTGCAACACCGGCCTTTAATCGTCCTAGTTCTGCCACCAAGCCACTGCTGAGCTCTAGTTCTATCATCTTAACGTCCCCCAAGAACATTTTGTCCTCCATCAGCGCCCAAATTTCATCCAGTGCGGCTTCTTCGTCCAGCCGCATTCAGTCGACCAACCGAAGCTTCCTACCCTTCCGCACGTCCAAGAACCGCAAGGCCGGCGGGCTGCTCGCTCTCCTCGCCAAAAGTGGTGGATTCTCGGTTCGGGAGTCCAAAACATCAGCGTCGACCAAATCAGGACCTACCAGCACGAGGGAGTCCCGTCCGCCATTAGAAATTCAGCAGACCTCGGCGTCAGGCTCGGAGTCCACACCAACGTCAACGCCTTCTCCAGCGGACATTGCATCCACTTCTGCCCAGAGACGTCTTGTTATCAAGACGCGTCGACCTTTCCCCGGCCTGAGGAGGCCTGGCCGACCGGGACTGAGAGGCTTGTTCAGAGACAGGAATGTTGCTGATGAAGTAACATCCGAGGAGCAGACTTCTGCCAAACCAGACATCGAGACTACGACAACTGATGATGTTGAAGATGAGCAGCCCATTGATCCTACAGAGGAGTCAGTGATCGAAGAGTTGTTGGAGACCACCACCAAGGCCGAAGTTGTAACAACGGAGCGACCACGAGTCCTGGCCTTCGGCAGAAGTCGGCCTAAGAGCGGAACGCGAAACGCTCTTCCTCTTCGTCGCAAACCAAAAACCGGACCGAGGCGTGGTCTTGCTAGCCGTTTTTCATCAGTGACCGCCGGCAACAGCGAACCGGAGGCGGAGACGACCACAGCTGCCACAACCACCACCACCACCACCACGACTACCGAAGCATCCACTGAACCCCCAACTGAGCCTCCAACCGAACCTCCGACCGAACGCACCGCCGAGCCTTCGCGTGAGCCCACCATTTCCGCGCCGCGGAGGCGTGGCCGCGGGCGGGCTCGTGGCGCCTCTCAAGGTGCGCGACGTCTCGTGAGCAGGAGAAGAAGACCGGGACTCACGAGAGGAAGACGAAGACGGCCGGTGAATGAGGAAAGTGATCTAGACGCTGCAGGATCCGAAGTGTACGAAACATACGCCATTGTAGAGCCGCTGCCGGAGCACACCAACTTTTTTGAACAGAACCATTTTTTAGATGAAGCTGGTTCCGAAGTTGATGTGGTCGTCGTCCACGGCGTCGACCCCCTTCAGGCTGCCGTGGAAGTGGCACAGGCCGGGGACGCCCCCGTTCTGTCGCGCACCAAGCGTCAGTCCGGCTTCGGAACCAGGACCAGGTCCCGCGCCTCTCAGCGGGAAGCTATCTCTCACCGAGCAGCACTGGATAGCATCGAGTCGACTGCTGGTGGACATGACGTTAAGGCTGATCCCACAGAGGTCGTCCGGGGCCGGCGTCAAGGTGCGCGACGTCGCTCCAAGTCTAGAAACAGTCGGCAGTCCGAGACGCCCAGGGCTCGTGCCGTCAGCCCCACACCCACCGAAGAAGGTACCAAGCAGAAGTTCACGCTCACTCCTGACCGGTCGCGCGGTTCGACCCGCTTCGGTTCCGGCTCGTCGCGTTCGTCGTCTAGCAACACGCGGAGGGCCATCCCATCATCGCGAAGGAATCGCCCAACCTCCAACACCGGTAGCTCCTCCGGACGCGCGGTGAGCCTGCGGCAGCGTCTGCAGCAGGCTCAGCTAGCAGGAGGTAGCGGGTCATCCCGTTCACCCACCAAGAACTCCGCCAACGGTCAGCCCTCACGAGGCACGTCCTCCCGTGGCTCGTCCTCGACCGCTCGTAGACCCTCTCGTCCGTCATCCTCCCGTGATCGCAACGTCGACTCGTCTGGCAGCCGCACCCGTAACAGAGGCCGCCGCCCGGCGTTCGGTTCCGGGCGAGATCCAAACCGCGAGCCGCCCGACCCGCTACCCGAGATCCGACCGACTCCGGTCCTCGAGGATGGCCAGATCATCGTTCTCTCGAACCAGCAGGTCCAGGCCTCCATTCCTGTGATCGAAAATGGACGCACAACGTTCAAGGACATCTTCACGGCGCGCACAGTGACTAAGACGCTCGAGGCTGGCCAGTACACTGTGACGGAGGTGGATGGAGCAGTACGCACGCATCTTGGGCTTTCAACAACGGTCGGCGACGGCGGCCGCACGGCCGTCGCAACGCTCTATATTCGACCGACTGATATCAAAACGGGACTGTTCACGCCGACCCGAGTTCGAGGAAGGGTGACGTCTGCCATCTCGTCGTACATTCAGCCTGGCTACACTGTCGTGCCGGAGGTGAACACCGCGAGCCCGCAGTTGCAGCCGCAGCCGACAGTACAGAACAGTGCGCTGACGGCGCTGCTGCAGCAGCTGCTGAGCGGGCAGCAGGCCAACCCACTGTTGTCCGGTTCGTTCGCCGCGCCGGCCGCGAGCCCGCAGCAAGCTTACCGCACGCTGAGCTTCACCACCACGTACGTGACCACCGTGACGCAGTCGGACGTCACCACCGTGCCCATCTTCTTCAACGGCCGAAAAACGAACACGGTCATCATCAACTCAGACGTGCAGGTGATCACAGCCACGGAGGTCGTCACCTCGTCGACACCGATCCCGGGTCAGACAGTGGCTCCAGCGCTCGGCCTCGGTGCCCTGGGCCTCGGGGGGCTCGGTCTGACTCCGCAGCAGCTGTTGCTGCGCCAGCTGTTGAGCCAGCGGCCGCAGCCGCAGGCGCAGCTGCCAGTGATCCAGGCGACGCGCGAACCGACGCTCAACATCGCTCCGAGTCAGCCGCCGCAGCTGGAAGAGCTGCTGCGGCAGGCGACCGAGGTGTCGCAGCAAGAGGCGCAGCGCGGCCCCAGCCCACCGCTGCCGCAGGTGGCATCCACCTCTGTGGTCACCATCTACGTCAGCGGCTCGCGACCGGGCGAGTTCTTCACGCGTCTATCAACAGTGACCCTGGACGGGCCCGAGGCGACCCGCATCAAGCGTGGCCAACTGCCCACGGCTGCCGTGCGAGCCACCGAGATCCCGGCCTTCATCGAGACCGACCAGGGCCTCTTCAAAGTGCCCAAGGACCCGCAGATCTTTGGAGACCTCGACTTCTACGTCATGTCGGCCATGAATGAAATAGACCCAGACATGATCCAGTTAGGCGCCACGCAGACGCTGGAGAGCGTCAAGGGAAAGGCCACCAGATATCGCGAAAAAGTCATCGATGTGGTACCATCACTAACGGACCGCCCCTCCCTTAAGACCGATTCTTTTTTATGGGAGGGCCCCGCTGAGTCTGCCCCACTCAGACGGGAGAAACGCCAAGCCACCAGGGGTCGCGCTAGATTTAACGGTAATGACCTAAGCTTTGCTCAACGGAATACTAATCAGGAAGCAGAAGAAATCAATGAACCAGCTTATACAACTTTTACCTATGCTAACACTGTTACTGACGAGTTTGGTAACATTATAATATCCAGCACAGAGCATGTGCTACCCAAGCTAACCACGCATAAAAACATCGAGCTTATAGAGCTCACCAAGCTGAGCGGAAGGCCAACAGCCTCCAACAGCCTGCTCTTCGGCATTCTCGCAACCGAAGCAGATGCAATCACGAGAACCATTGCTGCACGTGGTTCTGAACTAACCGCCGCTAGAAGAACCCTGAACAATGGACGGTCATTGGGAGACGTTCAAACGGTGCAAGACGTGAATTCCGCCCGGCGTCGAAGACCGCAGGCCAGTAGCGAGCCCCGAGGGGATTTTGTCCCCTCACAACGTGATGGCGGCTCCGCCGCCCGCGGCCCATCTCAGGCGTTGGTGAACAGGAACAGAAATCCACTTTTGGATCCTCAAGAGGAAGATGAGCCTTTTTCTGATGCCCTCCTTCGCTCGTCAATCTCTGAAGATCAGTTACAACTGGCTACAGAAAGATCCACGACGACGCTGGCTCTTCCTGGTGAGGACAAAGGCAACGAAGCTGCAGCTCGTGCAGAAACGGTACCGCCTAATGACCAGTCGACTAATGAGGCACTGAATGAAACTGCTGATAGGGCCATTTTATCGAACGTACGTCAAAGGGTTCGAATACGAGGTCAAGACAGGTCTGGGACAAGGACACAGGCCTTCACACCTGCGGACTCGACGAACGAAAGCGATAATGATAAAAATGCGGTTGATAGCACACTTCAGCCGCGAGCTCGACGGCGCCGCGTTCGAGTGCGTACGCGCCAACGGGTTGAGACATCTGCGAATGATGTTACGGGATCGCCATCAGATGACAGCGCTGAAAACGGTGGCGTAGGGGACAGCAGGAACGCTGGCAACCCGGCAAATGTTTCGCAATCACAACGTGGACGAACGCGTGAGCGTGGTCGCCAAAGGGCCAGCACAGCGCAGCCGGTTACTTTGCGAACCAACCGCCGTCGTAATCAGACCACGCGGTCTCGTGACGGCAGCCGGGCAAACCTCGGTGCTAGTCAAAGCTCGGCCTCCCGTCGCAGAGGTAGGGGACGCGCTCGGTCCCGAACAACACCATCGCCGGTTCCGGGAGGAGATTCCGAGAACGCAAGTGTCGAGACGACACGAAGAGGAGATGTAAATGAACCACAGGAAAAATCAAAAAGCAATCTGGAATATGATAGGACCACGGAACTAGGTGCTGCTGGCGTAGAAAGCGATTCCAAAACAGCTGTACCTCTTACACCAGAAGATATTTCTACAACTCAGCTGTTGTCAGATGATAGTGATGAGGAAGATGACAGGGGTCTACAGCAAACAACCCTGCTGTCGACAGCCCAGCCATCTGCTGGAGCTCGGCGTGGGCGGCCAAAATCCCAGCCTCGTGACCAGCAAGATGCAGTGCGTACCAGAATTCAGTCGGCTAAAACCTCCGGTGATCAACAGGAGGTCTCTGGTGCGGGCGATGATGTGCAACCTGTGCCAACGCGTTCTGCGGGAGCAGTGGTTAGACGAGTCGTTGTTCGGAAAAGACGCCCATTCAAATCTAATGCGACACACACTGGAACTGATCCAAGGCGCCCGATCAAAGCCAGCGCAACTGTACCGGTTTCGACTGAGCGCTCAACAACCATCCGCCCTTCGCCTTCTAGACAAGGCCGAAGAAGATCCCAATAGAACCTTACCAACGTCAGCAACAGCGGCTTCTACAGATGGAGTTGAGCCTAGTTATGCCGAAAATTTACTGGACGACGAACCCGAAGATGTCGATATATCTGCCAATAAGAAAGTTAAAAAAGATGCAGCTGCATCTTCGCGGGAGACGGGAACAAGAGGGCGCAGAGTACGCGTCCGCACCCGCGTGGTTGGCAACATTGCTGCATCAAAGAAGACTGACCTTACAGAGAATGAAGCTACGCCAAAAGAAACAGATGAGAGCCACGAAAACAAAAATGAAACAGCAGCGTCTTCGAATGTATCCACACCGCTCTCTACTTTAGGCAACAGAAGGAGGGGTTTCTCTCGCGCACGATCCGTAAGCTCAACACAGACTAGCTCAAACACAGCTCGCTCCCAAACATCAGCGAGCCTAAGGAAGTCCTCTGATTTACGCGATGGCGGTGATGCCACCATCTCAGAACTCCCTGAGCCAGTAGCTGAACGTGTCACAACAGGACGTCGTCGAGTTCGGGTTCGCACTCGCGTTCTGGCACAGCAATCATCTACCACCACCTCCACGAGGCCCGACTCTGCTGACACCACTGACGAAGCAGGGCTGAAGGAGCTTGATGATGCTGAAGAGGAGTCAGACATCAAACCAACGCCACGCCCGGCTGCACGATCGTTCAGCCCCCCAAGGGCCTCCGTTCGCAACCGATCTCGTTCTCGTACCTCTGTTGCAAGCACTGTTATCGACGCCACCACAGATTCTTCCAGTGCAGAACGGCCCGATGAGGAGGGCCAGAACGCTGTTCCTGGTCCCAGAACTGTAAAACCCACGGCTCGTGGCACATCCAGAAGACGCCCTGAACGGCGTCGCACGACACTGTCAGGACGAAGAAGAGGCTCCGGAAGCAGACAGAGGCCTGCCCAAGCAGAGGTTTCCAATGCGAATGAAATTGACTCCGAAGTCGACCGAAATCAGTCCCAAGTGTCGCGGACACGGTCTAGAGTGTCTTCATCTCGGATAGGTTCCAGGAGGCGTGGCGGTCGCGCTAGAACTAGAGCACCGACAACATCCACCGCGCCCACAACTGAAGGAAGCCGAGACCCTCCAGGGAGCTCTGAGACAGACTCTATTAAAGCTGCGGAAGTTCCGACAGCGAGGAAAATTCAGGATAATGGAGAGGAGCGTCTAGGATTTAGCAATGATATCACGGGTGTCAGTAGTGTCGGCAGCGAGTTTCCGCAAGACAACCTCGCCGAAGAGGGGCCGGCCATACGGAAAGTGAAGAAGATCAGGAGAATCGTCACCGACCCCGCGTCGGATGTGCCGCCACAGGTTTCAGGCGTCGCAGTGACATCTGGATCAAATAGGTCCTCTCCATCTTTGGACCGCAGCAAAAAGGAAGGAGATATCAATGTAAGCACATCGTCTGTGGACAGAAACACTCAACGATTGAAAAGAAGACGCAAGATAGTTAGAACGGTCTTGGTGCCGGGTGAAGACAGGCCAACTAGTGTTGTTGGTGATCTAGAAAACACCTCGACTCAGACCTCAGCGCGAGCGACGGCAAGGGTGACACAAACAAACACTGTGGTGCGTCCAGCCACCTCTACTGTCGCCGACATCGCGTCACAGCGTGATGATGATGCCGCCGTTGATGGCGGCAGAGGCAGACTTCCTGCTAATGCCACGCGGAGACAGCGGGTAAGGGTGACGCGAACGCGGACTAGATTGCGCCCCACGGCTTCCCTTGGGACTTTGCCGACCGTAGCCACCTCGGAGCAGCGTCTTCCGAGTCCAGGCGCAGCAGCAGCCTCTCCATCTCGGGAGGGCGGCCGGCTGCGAGTGAGCCCCGGGAGACCGAGGCCGGCCGGCAGGTCACGCCAGGTGGTCACGAGGACCAGGATTCTATCCCAGCAACGGGACGATCAAGCTGAGATTGCTGACTCCACCGAGAGAGAACAAGCGACAACGGAGGACGCGTTGAGTGTTCTTGTGAACGGGGATGAGAGAGACAACAATAGAGTCGAATCATCTGTCGCGGACGAACAGGAGATCGGAGTCCCAGGTCGGGTGCAGAGAAAACGAATCCGAAAGCTAAAACGAAAGAAAATCGTGCGGGTGAAGGAAGAACCACTTAACGTTTCTGAGACTTCTGGTTTGGAAGAATCGACAGATCGTCCTTCTCGTCGTGGGGGTCGTCGTCGCGTTGTCAACCTCAGACGAAGGCTGCCTGCCACCACTACCAGCTCTCCACGCAGTGGAATAGAGGGGGATGGGTCAGCTTCTACTGACGAGGAGGCATCTGAACGATTTGTAACAACAACGCCCTCTCCCAGGAGAACCGCTCTTAGTTTGCTTCCTAGGAGGACGACTGAAGCGCCGGCATCTTCTCCTCCAACCTCTGATGCGGAAGATGACGCTGCAGATGCTGTGGCCGAAGGTGAAAGTCAGATCTCTGCCCCAGAAAGGGCTAAAGGCAGACTAAGAGCCACTGGCTTTAACGGCCGCCGTCGACCCATCCAAAGACCTACACAATCTGGTGTCTCTAGCCTGGTACAAGCCTCGACAGGGCGTGGATCGGCTGACAGGCGGAGTCGGTTCCGCCGTCCGGGACGTCCTAGGCAAGATCTTGTCCGGCCAGAAGATGACACCACCGTCACTGATGCCACTGCAGTAGTTGACGACTCCGACGAATCTGACGCCAAGCAGGAGACCACTACGACTATCTCCTCGGAGCAGACCAGACCCGGGCTCCGCTTCAGTGCACCCAGACCCTCCAGACCAGGCTCACGACCTACTCGGCCTCCACCTACACGTAGGCGAAGACCGCCTCAGCGTCCTCCCGCGGTTAGCATCGACGATGTGGGCCGGGCCGATAGCGACAAGAGCGCCGATGACGAGTCCGAAGTGTCAGACGCTGCTCCGGTACGTTTCCGAACTCGGCCGATCTTCTCGAGCGGTCGTCCGAGAGGCCGGCCGCCCACCACAGCTCCTCCTCAGACCACGACCGGCCGGGGCAGTCTCGCCAACAGATTCTCGGCCGGTCGGAGAGGCAGACCTGTGGTGCCCTCTCGTTCGCGGTTGGGTGCAGGCCGGCAGCCGCCCCGCGCCGGCTCTCGGCCGCTGGGGACAAGCCGGCCTCAGAACGCCCCCTCCGCGGAGAGCAGCGGGCGGGGTGGCTCTCGGGCGCTGGGGACAAGCCGGCCCCAGAACGCCCCCTCCGCGCAGGGCAGCGGGCGTCCTGACAGACCATCAGGGGACGAAGACAATGGGGAAAAGCTGGAAGAAGCCAAGTCATTCACAACCACCACAACACAGGCGCCTGCTACGGCAGCACGGCCTCCGTCAAGGCGCATTCCGTTCTTCCCTGGACTGGCTCGTGAGCGAGATAGAAGCAGGACTCGGCGACCATCCGTCAGCCAAGTCAGCACACCAAGCACCACGGCCAGAACAGAGCCGTCGACAGAAAGATCAAGTGCGGCAGACATCGATGATGAGTACCCGATTGATGATACTGAGGGGACTGCCGATGACGACGTCCTTGATTTCGAGTCGGACGACATTGCTTCGTCCAGCGCCGCAGAGGACTCCCCCAACGACGTGCTCCCAAGCAACGTGGTGTACCGGAAATTCAGCACGTTCTCGCTTGTGGAGATCCTCGGCGGTCGCCAAACTCTGACGCTGCCTGTATTGACTTCAACGCTGACGACGCTGGCGCCCTCAGACCTCCACCTGATCACCGACGCGCCGTGGCTGTTCGACGAGAGCGCGACATCTTCACGCACTCCGGCGGCGCGGCCGGCGCCCCCGGTCATCCGACTGACCTCCACGCGGCAGACTCTGGCTAGTGCCGCTCCGACTCGCCCCGGCGCACCCCCGAGTGGTCTGCAAACCGCCGATCGTGCCACACCCACGCTCCGACCCGTCCTCAGCACCGCACCCCGGAGCGGACCGACGTCGTCCAGAGGCGCAGCGATATCCACGGCAGCCGGAAGGCCGACGTCGGACGCCGTCACGACGACCAGGGACCAGAGACTGCTGTTCTCATCACGGCCTTCAGTCATCAGACGCCCAGTCGTGTCGGTTTCGAGTGATTTGTTGGAAGCGTCACGCGAAAAAGCGGTTTCAAATGGCGCAACGTCAGTTCCCAGAAGTGGTGTGTTGAGATTCTCAGAGGAGGTGGAAGATCGCGAAGATGATGTGGGTCGTGTAACTAGGCCTCCCGTTGGCCTTTTCGACCGGGAGAGTGAGGATGAAGAGAGCGCAACAACCACGGTACCACCTCATTCACCTATTGTAGACACTCGCAATCATGAAACGTTGGGTGACGCAGACAACGAATCGGTAGACGGTCTAGACCCGATCAAAGATTTCCCAGCCACATCCTCGGTCCGCACAAGGCATTCTCTCGCCTCCTCGTCTGTTAGGTCCTCCCGCCTTCGACCCCTGCCCTCGCCGACCCGATCGCCGGTCACACCACTGACCAGTTCGGGAACGGTGGTGATCTTCGCAGAGCTCGTCACCAGCCCAGGTGAGATTGCATGATGCTGGTCTTCTGTGCACACATGCTCTGAATATCTGAACACGTTGCCTTCACTTGCGTTTCCCTCGCTGTGTGCGTTGCTTTTCTATTTTGCACTGCCTGGTAATGCTGGAAGGCACATAATCTTTCGGCTGATTGATGTGATGTTTATGTCTGTGGCTTATAATTCAGATCAGCTGCTCTTAGGCAATGGGTGTTATTGAAACAATGTTTGCGTCATTTGTGAAATTGTCCTACAACGTAATTTTTACATGTGGTACAATTTCAGGCAAATTGTCATGCCATACCATTTCAAGCGGAATGCCATGTTGTGATACCAGTTCAGGCGGATTGCCATGCATAAATTCTGGCTGAAAAAACATCTGTCAAAATGCGATCAAAAAGGTTAAATTAAAAACAAAATTGAGACACCATTTTTAGCACGTTTATTCAAACGAGATGGAAATTTTCGACCCATGTAGAGCGACTTGTACCACTGTTTCCGTGATTTCAGTGATAAATCAGCGGGGACCTATCAGCATCTCCAGCCGACCCGGTGAGTATTTCTGCCACCCCGCTCGTGCTGCGGTTTCTCCCTCCTCGGGCCTGATCAGAGCGATCTCCATATATTCAGGCCCTGACGTGTAATCGCCAGTGAGAGGGACGCGATGCCTTGCGTCAGGATGGCTCCGGGTGAAAATATATTCAGCGGCGATTTCTCCTCGGCCAGCGCCGCGAGTCCGGCTAATTAAGCATGGCCCGGCGACTGGAGAGTGCCGTGTGGGAGGATGCCGCACGTCTATCAGTATTCAGCGGAGGCGCCGCCGCCCGCCCTGCGCGCGGGCCGAGTGGACGCCGACTGATTCGGCACGATGTAGAAACCGTCGAGAGCGCTCGTGCCGCGCGGCCGGCAGCGCGGCTCCGTTGTCCGCTGAGGGGCGCGGCCCGGGTCTCGCTCGACCTGTGACCGAGATGCTTGCGTCTTCCATCACCCGACTGCCACATCATGGCTGTGACAGATACACGCGGCACGTGGGAGGCTGGAAGCGTTCCACTTCACGAGAAAATCGCGTCGAATTAACTGCTCCAGATATCTGGCTGACAGAAGCCGCACAGTCGGCTACGCCGTTCCGTTTGCGGTGCTGATGCCCGCGCGCTGTCAAAATCCCCCGATGGGATTTTCACACCGCCTGTTTGCTGACCTGACACCCTCCGAGGATGGCACAGGATGACTGGCGTCTGACCCGTGACCTCGTTCCAGCTGTCAGTCAAGATGTAGCGCCTGAGGACGCAGGCCAGGTTCTGACCACTCCAGGCTCCGTGGTTGTCCCGGGCATTGCCACCAAACTCATGGAGAATGGCGTCCCGGTGCTCGTGGCAGGTGAGAGCTTCCGCACCGGTTTAAGAGACGCACAGCTAAACTTCTGCTCTCCCCCCCCCCCCTATATACTGCACTGCGATGGATTACCTCCACGTCCCCCCTCCCTCTCTCATCTGCCCGCGTGCCACAGGCCGACACTCGCATTGTAGCATTGTAGCATTCATTGGCTATCGCATGTAAGCATTCCCCCATTGGACGTTCCACCATGGTTTTGGAAGTATATCTGCAAAACTCACAGGCTTCATCAAAATGTGTTGGAAACGGACGGTATTTGAAGTAATGGAGTTACCTGCGGTGCTTTCTAGATTTAAGTCGTTAGTAGAGCAAAGTTAGAGCCATATATTATTGTGACACTAGATGCACCATAAATGGAGTGGTTGTTGAGTGAATACCCATCAATATTACTGCGTAATAATTTATACATATTGATATGTGTAATAAGTATTTATTAGTCGATGCTTTTCCGTTAAGGCTCTTTGATTTGTCATGCAAATTCATTGTTAGCGTGCATATTGAATTCTAGCGCTCGTCTTGCTTACTTTGCCCTGTTTCAAAAATTTGCATTTGTTCATATTCACTATGAGGAAATGACAGTGAATCCTCGAGCTCGATTCTCGGTATCTCCCCATCCCCCTCCCCACCCGTTCACCGCCGAGTTCTGGCCAAACACCGAAGGCGGTCCTTGGCTAGTCCTTGTTGGAAATGTGCATCATCCGCGGATGTGGGTCTGGCGACCGACAACATTTGATTACATGCATGCAACCCTCTGGCAACATGCATTGTCTAGGCCAATATGCATCTCTCAGCGCTTTCTTACCACACACGGGTCATGCTTTTTCGAGCCACCTACCCCGATCCAACTGCAGCAGAGTCCGGCTCAGGCCTCTAACCGAGTCTCCCGCCGCCGCAGAGGGGAAGCTGCCGCCCGAGCAGGTGGTCAGCAACGGCCAGGTGGTGCTGAACTCGGGCACGCTGACGCTGCCTCCCGTGTCGCTGAGTGACGTCATGTCCCTGTCTCCGAGCTCCGAGACCGACCCGGAGGTGAGAGGCTGCCGCCCACGGGCGCTGCCGCCGCTGCCAGCGGACACGCCGTTCAAGGGTGCGTCCTCGCGGTGTGGCTACTCAGATGCGGTGAGATTCGTTGGACAGGGCTGTCCCCGCGACGGCCACTAACACGACTGGCGATTTAGCGCGGTTGATTGGAGGCAACGCGTGGGTACGCACAGCTGGTGAGAAGACAAGTCGGCAAAACACTTTACAATGGATGGCCGTGAAACACGGTGTAAGATATAACGAAACCGACTTACCGAACAGACTGAAACGGAGTCATAAACGTCAGGAAAGCTTGCATAAGCGCTAGCGACGCGTGGAGGCTGGCGACCGTCACGCCCTGACCTCGCTCACACGTCAACTCGGGCACTGTCACCGGTCAACATCGCCACCACTTCTGGACGGCCCGCCGGCAAAGCTGGACTGTGCGAGCCGTGATCAAAAGCCGATAGGTTGGGTCGGGCCGCGCCGACCAAGTGTTGTCAAATGACCGGCGGCGGGTATCATCCACGGGCCGCCGCCCGGTGGCCCAATGTGCCAATGGTTAGAGGCAGATATGACTCCCTGCGGGGAGCACAGGCAGCCAGAGCAGTGGATCGCACAAACGTATCTCAAAACAAGTTGTAACGCGGAACAAAATTTTGCTTCTGATATATCTCGTGCTCATGACCGCAATTAGGTGAGTTAATCAACCTTGCTCAAGTTGCGCGCTTCCATCCCTTCCTGCCCACATGTTCGGAATAAAACATTTGTCGGCGTGAAACAAACACGGAAACCACCTGACCCAGTTCATGGCTTACTTGGCTATCCAGTTCGCTGCAGTAAAGCTTCTTAGTGCGGTCCGGCTTATTAACCCAGCCGCTGCCTCACGCTAATCCCGACCCAACTAAACGGCATGACACCGTGCAGTCGCGCGCTAACTGACCGCCGATAACGCACTAACCGCTGGGTTGCGGGGTGAGCCGCCTCCGCGCCCTGACCCGGCTGCGGCCTGTTCTAGCTACGGCCGGCCGGCGGCGCGGCCGCCCTCCTAACAAAGACCTACCTAACCACGGTGACGCTGCTGTCGAGCCGGTGGGCCGGCGCCGGCTCGCTCGTGACCGACACCCGCCGCCGCACCGAGGCTCTGGTGGTGACCGAGCTGCCGGCGGCCGCCCGGTTCGCGGCCGCGCCCCAGGTAAGGGCCGCGCACGGCGCCGGCTCCGGCTCCGGTTCCGGCTACGGCTCCGGCTCCGGCTCCGGCGCCGGCTCCGGCCCGGGCGCGACCCCGATGCACGAGGTGTGGAGGGTGGGGCGACGGGGCCAGCTCGGCTCGGCGCGGCCAGCATGCGAAAGCGCCCGCCGGGCGCTGATTTACATATGAGCTCTCGCCGGCCGACGTCGGTGAAAACGATTGGTTTGCCGCGCCGGGCCGGAGCTGGTAGACGTCGCAGGGTGCGATGATGGAGTTCCAGTGAGCTGGACGATGCTGGCGCAGCGAATGACTACGGTGAGGCTTCGAGATGAGGGTCCCGCAGAGGTGGCGGAAGGTCGACACTGCCGCACGCTGGTGGTGGGTCGGTACTGCAGAGCCCTGGTAGAGGGTCGGCATTGCACGGGGCGAATGCCAAACCGGCGCTGACCCAGCGCCGTTCCGAGTGGTCGCTGTGCAGCGGCGGTCTGGCCTCCTGCGCGGGCCCCCTGCAGCCAGTTGACACCATTTCAGGCGCAGTCTGCCCTGCCTGGGAACTGGCCTGGACTCGGCTCACGACACTCACGCAGCGCTCGGGCGAAGATACACAACACACACACACACACACACACACACACACACACACACACACACACACACACACACACACACACACACACACACACACACACACACACACACACACACACACACACACACACACACACACACACACACACACACACACACACACACACGCACACACACACACACACACACACACACACACACACACACACACACACACACACACACACACACACACACACACACACACACACACACACACACACACACACACACACACACACACACACACACACACACACGCACGCACGCACGCACGCACGCACGCACGCACGCACGCACGCACGCACGCACGCACGCACGCACGCACGCACGCACGCACGCACGCACGCACGCACGCACGCACGCACACACACACACACACACACACACACACACACACACAACACGCACACCACACGCTCGCTGCGACATATTACATGCCAGCAAGTGGTCACGGACCACGCACCTAGGAGAAACGTATCCTTATGATCACACATAAAACCCAGTGCCTTCATCATATGAAGGCGAATACAAGCCCGGTGCTCTGCTGCGTCAATCGATGCCGCGGACCGTTTTACGTGGAGGATCTCGAATGGATATCATATATTGCCGTCTGATAGTGAGATATCGCAAGTTACGATTTCTCAAGGCTCCCAGGCCGGCTTGTGCTGCGAGTTACAATGGCTGGTTTGAATCTGCCACACAGTATTTCCTGATGCTACCTTGTCTGTCTCACACAAGGTACTGCAGAACCCTGGTCAATGTACTGCAGAAACTACCCCCCCCCCCCCCAATAACTGACCAGGGTATGACCAGTCTAACCCAACGACCAACAGCTTTACATCCCCCACTCCACGGATATGACCCTGCGCGCCGTTGTGAGTGTCCCAGCCGGCCGGCTCAGTCATGACACGTGCCCGCGTTTCGGTCGTTGACCGCCGCCGTCCGCTGGTTGCACCAGCCATCCACTGACCAAGCCGGCCCATATGGGGGGGGGGGGGGGAGGGAGGGCAAGGAGGCCGTGCTGGTTTGACCACACGACTTCAGGAAGTGGCGACGGACCTGCCATCCGCTGGTCAGGTCGGCCCATGTGGATGTGGGGGGGGGAGGGGAGGAGGCCGTGTTGGTTTGACCGCGCGGTCCCGGGAAGCGGCGACGGACCAGCCATTCGCTGACCAGGCCGGCCACATGTATATGTGGGTGGATGGGGAGGCCGAGCTGGTATGACCACGCGGCTCCCGGAAGTGACGGCGGACCAGCTTTCTGCCAGCCCGGCGGCGGGAACCGGTCCCGCTCGCCGTTGCACGCCGCCGGTATTTGACCTACTGCCCGGACCGGGACGACTTTTGCTCGGCGGTACGTGAGACCAGGATCATCTGGCGGATGGCCTTTACCGAGAAAAATCTATATATTTATGGCCTTTGTGCGAGACGGCACTCGGTCGTCCGGCAGCGGGCAAGCGGGCTAGCATTCAGCCGTCCGGCAGCGGGCAAGCGGGCTAGCATTCAGCCGTCCGGCAGCGGGTCAGCGGGTTGGCATTCGGTCGTCCGGCAGCGGGCAAGCGGGATTCGGACGTCCGGCAGCGGGTCAGAGGGTCAGCATTCGGTCGTCCGGCAGCGGGCAAGCGGGTTGTGAACAGACTTCGGGGTCAGAGCTCTTTTCTGTGTCGGAGAAATTATGCACTATACTGAATATGTGCTAAAAGTGCACTTCTGTTATATGCTGTGCGCAACAAAATGTGCTAGGGACTGATGGCTTGCGTGGGCTTGGAGCGGTCTACTATTTCAATCTGGCAACCCCCATTTAAGGGTTATTTTTCGTGCACTCATCTCGTTTTGTAATTGACCGCCGAGTCGATGCTTTCCGTTGGGCACATGCCGCGATTATGGGAGGCGTGCATCATTATCTCCAGTGCAGAGGTGTCCTTTAGGGCACAGAACGGTGGCATCCACCACACTGCATGGGATGAGCGCGTGCTGCATTGTCATGCCTGCACCGGCGCACAAGCTCGACAGCTCATTACTTGGGGTCCAGGTGACACCGGTTCATACAGCGGAGTTTGGTCCGCCATTGGCTATTGCTCTATCATAAATGGGTATTTTCTAAAAACATTTTAAGTGCATCGCCGGATTTCCTAACTCCTTAATACAGTAGCACGGAACGTCCTTGGCGTCATGTTGATTATCCCGATATTGGGCGATGCCACCTGCACACAAGCTGAGCCAGCAAGTAAACATCCTACAACTGAGCCGTACAACCTGTACTAGCGGAGCGTGGCCTGTCTGTTTCAGCTGGGCACGCGCGGCACCGAGGGCTTCGACTCGCGTTTCTACCGCACGCACACCTACTTCACCACCTTCACCTTCCTGAACCACTTCAAGGAGGGCGACCGATCGGTGGTGTTGACATCGCGTGAGACGGTGTCCAACGTGCTGACGTTACCGGCCGCCGTCACCACGCCCTCCTCGACGCGCTTCCAAACGGAGACGTATCTCAGCACCTACACGTACTTCAGGACGACGACGCGCGGCAACCGCGAGCACGTGACCTCCACGCAGGAGGTTGTGACGCAAATCGTGGTGACGGAGGCTCCGGCCGCGCCGCCGCTCGTCGCGCCGACCTCCCGCTCGCTGCTCTACACCAAGACGTACCTGTCGACAGTGACCCTCTTCGACACGGCCGTCGTGTCGGGCACGCAGGTGCTGGTCAGCACCACCAGCGTCATCCGCGACGTGGCCGTCGAGACGTCCTACATAGCGGCCGTGCGACCGACGGCAACCAGGCCCGTCATCCAGGCGACGGTGGCGCCGGCTCCGCGGCCCGCCGCCCGGCCGCCGCCAGTCGTCGACCCCAGCTTGCTGCCGGTCGGCGAGCAGGACGAGATCCACGTGGTGGCCACCAAAACGTTCTACACGACCAGCACTTTCTACACCACGCTGCTGGAGGGCAGCTCGACCGTGGTGCGCACGCGCACAGAGGTCACCTCCCGCCTGCAGACCGAGAAAGTGACGACGCGACTTGACTCGTGGCACCTGAGCTCGCTGCGCAGCTCGTTCGTCGGGCCGGCGGCGACGTCCACCACCGCATCGTCGCTGCTAACGCCGCTGGTGACGGCGGAGTCGGTGGCGGCGCCCGTTGAGTCGCAGCCGACACCCAGTCGAAGCGGGACGCCGCCACAGCCCTCTCCGGTGGTGGCCAGCCCGGTGCCCGCGCCGCCGCTGGGCGGCGAAGACAGCGACCAGACGTCAACGACGCAGGAGGAGCCCAGTCAGAGCGTGAAGACCACGCCGTCGCCGGCGACACCGACAACCCCCTCCGAGACTCCGTCACCGCCCGAGAGCGCCGCGCAGTCGGTGACCGCGTCCTCGGAGCCGGCCGGCGACGAGGCGACGACGGCGGCCGCTGAGTCGCAGCCGGCGGCCGCCGACACGCCGACCGGCGCCGCATCGCTGGTGTCGACCACCACGTCAGTGAGCCCCGTCACGCCCAGCACGACGACCGCGGCGCCCTCAGGCGGCCTCGACTCGTCCGAGTCGACGGCCGCCAGCCTAGGCAACCTGGCCGGCAGCCTGCTGGGACTGAGCGGGCTGGGTGCAGCCGGTCTGGGCGGCCTCAGCTCAATGGTGGACACGGCTGCTGGCCTCTTCCGCAACGTGCTGCCGGTGGCCGTGCGGCGCGACGGCTCTTCCGGCGTGCCGCCCGACTCGCGCCCGCCGCCGGCCGTGCACGTGCAGCAGCGCAACCCGGCCTTCATCCCGGTCGGTGGCGTGGCGGCGAGTCTACGGAACCAGCAACTGGCGACGGCCGCGCCCGGTGGTGGCTTCTTGGCCGTCATGGGGCCCGAGGGCGAGATGATCCGGCTGCGCGGCGTGCCCAACGGCGGCGCGCCGCAGCGGCCGCCGCCGGGCCTGCAGGAGAGCCTGCCGCCGCCGCAGCGCTCGGGCGTGCCCGTGCGACGTGCCGACCGACCGCGCCGGCCGGCCGGGCAGCCGCTGCGAGGCGACGGCGCGCCGCCGTTCCGCGGCGACGCGCCACGCCGGCCGCCGCGGCCGGTGCGACCCAACCGACGGCAGCAGCACGTGGCGAGGCCCAACGGTTTCATCGCCGTGTTTCCGGGTCAGCGCGAGCAGCCGCCCCGCCGGCCGCCGCCGGCTGACGGCTTTGTGCAGCTGCAGCGCATCGAGAACCAGCCGGGCCAGCCGTTCCAGATTCGCGTGCGACCGGCGGCCGGGCAGCCGGGCGGCCGGCGCCCGCCGCGGCCGGGCCTGGCACCACCGCGGCCCGACATCGAACGCTTCAGGCCCGGCGACGCCGAGCGCAGGCCGTTCCCAAGCGGCGGCGTGCTCGCCGAGCTCGGTCGGCCGGCCGGCGCGCCGTCAACACGCGTGCACGTCTCCATCACGAGCGGCGCAGAGACGCAGTTTGTGCGGCCGAGCGCGGCCAGCCCACAGGACCGGCTGACGGCCGTGCCGCCGCGCCGGCCCGTTGTCGTGGTCGGCGCGACGTCGCTGCCCGGCTTCGCTGGCCAGGAATTCCTGGAGACGCGGCGAGCAGACGCCCCGCCGGTGCGGCCAGCAGGGCGGCCACCCGCCTACGTGGAGGCCGAGTTCGCCGACCAACAGACCGTCGACGACCAGGATTACGCCGCCAGCGTTCAGGGTCCGTTCGGCACTGGACAGCTGACGTACTTCGACAGCGCCGACGCCGGGTTCGTGCCCGACCAGGGCTTGCGTCCGCCCCTGGCGTCGCCGAGCGCGGAGACCGCACAGGACGCCGAGAACGCACTGACAGGTCAGGTGTTCTGGTCACAGCGGCCCGTGTCGACATCCACGCTGCACACGATCGCCTCGCTGGAGGGCGACAACCGGATTGTAGGCACCAACGTGTTCGCCAACGTGGTGCCCATCACCACTCAGCCAGCGGTCATCAGCTTCCCGCCCAACACCGACCGGCCGCGACCGCCGCCGCGCGCACCGCTGCTGCCGTCCGCCCCGTCCGCTGCCGCCCCGCCGCTGACGACAAGACCCAGTCCACCGGCATCGTCCGAGTCACCACCGCCACCACCGGCTCGGGCGTCGGCGCCTGGCTTTACGTACCAGCCGACGGAGGAGGCGCCGCCCTCGGAGTCGCCCAGCATCCCGGTGGTAGACCTGGAGCTGGAGCCCTCGACGGAGCGAGTCCGGGTGGCACAGCGAGGGGACCTGACGTCTGGCAGCATCTCCGGCGACGACGAGAACGACAAGATCAACTTCATCGTGTCGTCGAGCTTCGAGCCGGTGGCGGCGACTTCATCGCGCGCCACGCCGCGCACGCCGTCACTGACGTCGAGCCGGCGGCCGACGCGGCTTGCCGACCGCATCCGCCAGACGCTGCTGGCGTCGCTGAGCAGCGCCGCCGCTGCCGCCGCTGCCTCCTCCTCCTCCTCCTCCTCCTCACCTTCTTCCTCCTCCTCCTCCGCCGCAGCCGCCGCCGCCGCCGCCGCCGCCGCCGCCGCCGCCTCCTCCACCGCCGCCTCCGCCGCAGCCGTCGCTTCCGCCGCCGCCGCCGCCGCCGCCGCGTCCGCCGCCGCCACCACGCCGAGCGTGCGCGTCGGCTCGGCGACGTCGATCCTCGGGCCGGACGTGCGCACGCTGAGGCCGGACACGCGCGTCACCAGCCAGCACAGCAGCTCGGCAACTGTGATCCACGGCGAGTCGACCGTGTTCGGCGGCCTGTTCACGCGGCCGCCGCTGCCCGTGGAGAACGTGCACGACATCACCGAGATTGTGCACGGCACCGGTCGGCAGTCCGTCACCAAGTACATCACGCGAACCGAGCAGTTCACTCGCACAGTCACCGCCACCAAGACCGACATCCGCTTCGAGGTAAGTTGTCCGGGGCACGGCTGCTGTCAGTCCCGAGACCCATGAGAGAGTTTTTAAGACTAAGTAAAGCGGAAAGGTTCTTGAGTCACCGTGTCCGTCTTAGATATGTGGCAGCTGATGCAGGAGGTTGCTGCCCTGCATGCTTTATGTCGGTATGCCCGTTGTGTTCTTAAAGGGTACAGGTTCCAAAAGCAATTTAAAACAAGTGCTGATCTACCTATGTGGTCTTTTTCGCTTTCCCCTGACTCATCTGTTCGGATTTTCAGGGGAGCTCCGTGGTGACCAGCACCAAGGTTATCACCAGCACCCTGCCGCCCATCACCATCGTGTCCACGGTGATCGGCACGTCCACGCAGGTCCACACACTCAACACGGCCACGCCCACGCGTGTGCAGCTGCTGTCAACAGCGACGCGCCTTCCGGCTCCCGCAGCGCCGCGCGCGCCGCCGCCGGAGCCGCCACGGGAGCCGCCGCGGGAGCGGGAGCGGGAGCGGGAGCAGATCGCCATCGCTGGCGTGTACGTGCCCGACTCGATCGAGCTCGGAGACATACGCAAGGGCGTCGACGACGACAACGAGGTGAACCGGGTGGTCATCAGCCCAGGCGTCGGCCAGCAGATCGTGGTGGAGCAGAGCGAGGCGGTGGCCACGCGCTGCGAGCGGCCGTGCCTGCCGGCTATCTTCGAGACGTGTCGGCGCGTGGGCGGCGCGTACCGCTGCGCCTGCCGGCCCGGCTACTCGCGCGCCCGCGAGCAGGATCCCTGCGAACGTGAGTGGACGGCACAGCTGAGCTGAGGGCGGCCAGGTACTGGTGACGGGATCATGGCGTAGGCGGCGATGAAGAGGATAGGGAGGCAACGGCCTCAACCTGAGGTTTCTTTAGGAGTGACATTCTTACTATATGTACAATGCGCCGTGTACCAAAAGTATACCTTGCTTTCACAACATGAACATCTTAAAACGCCTGGTGTGGGTAGAAGCGTCTCCTCAGCAGGATGCTCACCAAGGTAACGTCTTCCTCGCCTCGTCTGTTGCCCAACTGGCTCGTGATGGCTAAAGCGCCCCTCCGTCGCGCCCTGCACCGCGCAAACTGAGTCGGGTCACTCCCGGGACTGACAGCCTCCTCCGCCGCAGCGACTCTCACCTACCGCCTGCACGTGCTGCTGGACCGCGTCAACGACATCCCGCTGTCCTTCCGGCCGCCGTTCGCCGACCGCGACTCGAGCGAGTTCGGGCAGATGGCGCGACTCACCGAGGCCGGTCTGGGCGAGGCGCTGGGCGCCACTCCCCTCGCGGACCGCCTGCACACCACCCAGCTGATGGGCTTCAAGCCGACGCGCGCCGCCGGAGAGCACGGCAGACCGCGCCTCGACGGCCTGATGGCCGAGATCATGGTACAGGTGAGGCACACCAGCTACCAGCTACGGGTTTCGGCGCTAGAAGCAATCGCGCTGCATTGTGCACCTGGTTTTGCATTGCGTCCGTGCACCGGTGCACGCAGTGAGTCATGGAGTTTCACGCTCAATTCTCTGTTCGCTAGGTGTCGGACCGAGAGAAGCAGTCGCTGGACAAGGCCGTGCTGCAGGACACGGTACAGGAGGCGCTCCGCAGCACCAACTACTCACTGGGCGGCCAGCAGGTGGTCGTGTCCAGGCACACGGACGCCATCACAGCGCTTGGTGAGCTCCCGGCGCGGACAGACGACTGAAGGGGGGAGGGGGGGGGGAGAGGGTAAGACGCTCTGACTTTATGGCTGTGGAGAGCCAGCTCTGCGTTACAAGTCCATCTGAACATTTGAAGCACGTTTTGTGGGAACGTGGGATGAAGTATAGCTCAGTCGGGGAAGATGATAATTGGCAAGCAAAAGCCATAGCGGCTTGCATGCTTATTATGCCGTTGATCTTCCGAGCAATTATCAGCAACACACAAAAACGCGCATCGCGTCGACAGCATGAGTTGTCTTCTAAAATTTTTGTTTCTTCGCCCTCATAAAACAACGATAGATACCCGAAAAGAATGCCTTGCTTAATGACGAGCTCGATGACTTGTCTACGGTTCGGAGCCGTGCCCATCACTAATAACACTGCCTCTCCGGCTCGGAGCCATGCCCATCACTAGTGGCACTGTCTCTCCGGCTCGGAGCCATGCCCATCACTAGTGGCACTGTCTCTCCGGCTCGGAGCCATGCCCATCACTAGTGGTACTGTCTCTCCGGCTCGGAGCCATGCCCATCACTAGTAACACTGGCCAGTCAGCCCAGTAACGCTGCGTTGACGCACTCGCAGACTTTGACGAGTGCCAGGAGGCCGACTACAACGACTGCCACGCCTACGCCTTCTGCTACAACCTGGTGGGCACGTTCACCTGCAGCTGCAAGGACGGCATGGTCGACATGAACGTCAACGAATCGCCAGGTCGAGCCTGCTCAGGTCCGTTTACAGGACGCGATGGAAAGTCTGTCAGTTGACACTCAGGCGTGCTATGACCGTTGTCCACGAGTCATGGCGCAACATCTTGAGTTGACCCAGGACAGCTTCCAATAGTTACAACCCAGGGGTCATGATCATGTTCGTGTCTGAACTGGGCTGACGGATGTTCGGCAGCACGGCTCGCTGCTGGCCGCCTGCCGTCCTCAGCAGTCCGCCCATGACCATTCCTCTCCATGCCTCCCGCCGTGTGTCCATCCCTTGACTCCCCCTCACCGTGCGTCTCCCCCGTGACTCCCCCTCACCGTGCGTCCCTCCCTTGACTCTCCTCGCCGTGCGTCCCTCCCGTGATTCCCCCTCGCCGTGTGTCCCCCTGTGACCGCCCTCCCGCGTCCGCAGCTGAGTCGGCCGGCTGCAAGGAGTGCAGCTACAGCGGCGAGTGTTACACTCGGGATGATGGCGCCACCGGCTGCCGTTGCCACCGCTGGTACGCCGGCAACCGATGCCAGATCAACCTGCGTGTGCTCCTCATCGCGCTCGTCACCGTGGGCGCTGTGCTCGCGCTCATGCTGTGCGCGTGCTGCTTCCTCTGCTGCCGCCGCAAGGGGCGCAGTCACGTGGCGCCACCACTCGGTAAGTGGGGGACTCCGGAGCGATAGCGGCAGAGGGTGCCACGCGGAGAAACAACCGGCTAATCTTCTGAAAATGCTGTGTAGCTAGGGCCTGGTGTGGCGTCATCTTGAACGTGTTGCTAATATCAGCGCGGCTCTCGCATGCCACGGAAATTCCTAACAGGGAACATCAGGGGGCTCGACGGTATTCCACTGTAAAACAGCTTAGACCTCACAGTGTAGGCAATCAAAGCCTTTGCCGCGGACATCGCGGAGAACCTCCGTCGAGGATCAGTGCTGCTGCTGTGCGCGGCCTGCAGCTGACGCCAGCTGTAACCGCTGATTGCACCTGTTCCGCCAGTGTTCACCGGTCCGGCCGGCTTCCTGCGACACCGCGGCACCAGTCTGCACAACCCGGTCATCGAGCGACGAGCCATGCTGGACAGCAGCAGCGACACCAGCGCCGCCAGCCCGCCTCGTCGGGTACGTCAGACGCGCCGTCCGGGTCGGCTGATTACCGCACGGGCTGGCGGGGATTGAGGGGACGCTCACGGGCCTCAGCCAGGTGCCAGAAGCATTTGCTGAACCTAACTTATGCTGTTACAGCAGGCGAATGCTTGAGCTGTTCCTATTGCTCCTTTATGTAATATCTCATAAATTCATTGGCTTCAGAACCACTAGATCACCTCTGTCACGGCTGCTCTGGCCACTTCCCAGCCGGTCACCTCCGCCCCGGTAGTCTGCACGCTTCCCTGTCGTGCGCCTCTTTCACGGCCGTTACCTGCGGGCAGGTCCCGGCGCCGGCCGGCGCGAGGCGGGCACCGGCGCCGGCGCCGCCGCCCTCCATGGGTGGCCGGAGCCGGCGCTCGGGCCGCACCAACCCCAGCTTCCAAGAGGACCGCAGCATGGCGAGCACGGGCGTGCGGCCGGCCGTCTTCATCCCGCGTGCCAAGCACAAGCACCCGCGGCCGGCTAGCGCCGGCTCGTCGGCGGTGCGGGTCGGCGCCGACGGCTCTGCCGACCTGCGCAGCACGCAGGTGAGCGGCGACGCGGCCGACGGGCTCGGGTGCCACAGACGGCCGATGGTGGAGAGTCGCTGGGAACGGGTTCTGCCGGGCTTCTGATGTTAGAGGACAATGTTGCACGTTGTTGGGGGGGAGGGGGGGAGAGGGGCATTCGTCTAGTCTTCATGGAGGAGCTAACACTTATCTGGTTTCCAAATTTCATAATTCTAACGGGATGGGATTTCACACTTGCACAGCGCACTTTCTCACTCTCTATTTGTTGCAAGGCACACTCTGCGGCAAGCATCGCTAAGGCCGTGTCTCTCCCAATCCAGTCCTTGCCCGTGTTGCTCAACCAGCACCTGACCGCCTGTTTGTGGCGGCCCGCAGAGCCGGCTCCTGAGCGTGCTGGAGCCGGGGCCGCGCGGCCGGCCGCGAGCCGGCACCTTCACATCGCAGCGCACGGCACGCAGCGTGAGCAGCGGCCGCCGCGGCCGCCGGGAAGAGGTCAGCCACCACCCGACCGGGCGGAGTCGCAGCTCGGACAACCTCAGTCAGCGCGGGGCCGACTCGCTGGCAGACCCGGCCGACTACGGCTCTCACAACTTCTTCCGCGAGAGGTCAGCTGGTCGGCGTGGCGCAGGAGACCCCGCCGGCCCGGCGACACCGCGCAGTGCGATGTTCTGCGCTCGCTCTGTCCAGTTCTCTATACGCGATTTGATTTTTCTGGGCCAATATCAGAGAGCGACGCTCACAAGTATTGGAAAGCGACGTGCTAATTCATGTTCCGCGATATTCTAGGCTACTGCTATTTTCATACCGCGGATGTCCGCATCAGCAAGTCGACATGCCGAGAGGTCGCCTGCAGGCTCGTTTCCTGACGCCGTCCCGATTTCCCGCAGGACGATGTCGGAGGCTCGATCGTTTGACGAGACGACGATCCGGCCAAGCGTTCGCAGCATGCGGGGCTTCGGCACGCAGTGCAGTCGGCTGAGCTCCAGAGCGCTCAGCTCCAATATGTTCACATACGTGAGTGTTCCACTCAGCGTCACCAGTCAGGCTGAGCCTCAGAGCGCTCAGCTCCAATATGTTCACATACGTGAGTGTCCCACTCGGCCTCACCGGTCGGGCTGAGCTCCAGAGCGCTCAGCTCCAATATGTTCACATACAAGAGTGTCCCAATCAGCGTCACCAGTCAGGCGTCGTGACGACGCACATCGGTGCCGTGCGAGCTCAGATAGCAGCTGGTAGATGCTGAGTGGTCTCCAGTCACGTGGTGATGTTAGCTGTTCTGACTACCATTGATGCAACCAGCGTGGTGTTGATCCATCACATAGTGTTGATCCATCGCGTGGTGTTGATCCATCGCGTGGTGTTGATCCATCCATACAGGCCTCTGCGCCACGAATGAAGCGACTCGCGGCTTCGTTCGTTCGGTCGTTCGCGAAGCCGTTGTACCCACGAGTGTGATCACACTCACACTGATGAATCTGGGAGCCCTCCTGGTGGCGGGGTTGAAATACCATATACTGTCGATGATTATCAATTACAAAATACGATTTCCTTGCCAGGATCATCACACTATGGCGGAGCGGGATGCAGCATCCACCTTCGTCATGCCGGAAACGCAGCTGTTCCGGCCCGCGGCGGTATGTGCAAACACCACTCTGAATATATTAAGTGAATGAGATCGATGTTTAAGTTTGCATCACTTGATCCATGCACGTGAAAGACCTGATACCGCTGCAAGGTCGGCAATATTACTTTTGAGGTGATCTGGAATGCGAGGCGGTGTTTCACTCCCTTTGGACCACATTTTTTAGAAATCTCGCCAGCATCTAAGAAATCACCATAGTGTGATTGTTTGCGTATGATGATTAATAAGACAGCAGGCTGTGAGCAACATATTCTGTAACACTGAGTACAGCATCCAGCCGATGCCGCCTCGCGCACCTGGCTGGCCATGCCGCAGCTGCTCACACCACGACAAGCGGACGGCGGGCCGGCGGCTGACGCTCCGTCTCGTTGCAGGACTCGGACGCCCAGTCCGAGTTCAGCCTGGCGGACGACTTCCCGCAGATCCACGCGTCAGGGCGCGGCTCCAGACCGCCATCAGCCACCGGTAGCCGGCGTGGTCTGCGGTGAGGCCAGCGCCACCTGCCGGCCCGATCGGCCTGACATCTACCGGCGCACTATTTATTGACGTGTGTGAGTCGCGCAGCCCGGCCGAGGTGCCGCGGCGTTTGCCGGCGCGAAAAAGGTCAAACAGGGAGGAAGGGGAACGGTGTGCACGTCCCACTCCTGTTCGCTTTAAGTTGTTATCGTTATTCTGTATTCCTATTGTGTTGGAATGTCCGTTGACGAGCCCACATTGATTCGCACTCTGAACTTGCGGTGCTTGTGAAATACTTGCTCAAGAGTGCTGTCCCCTTCTCCTCAGCGGAATGACAGGAATTGTTAGCTGTAGACTACATGTAGAATGATGCGAGTCGATTTGTACATACCTCTGAAGTCAGAAAACGGAGCAATGCTCCGTAAGTAAGAGAACATAATACGTGCGTGATTGTCGTGTAGCTCCGAGTATTGTGATTGTGCCAAACGAGGGCGGTGTTTCCGTGCGACCAGCAGCCGTATGGACGGCTATGCACTGACCGATGTAAATACTCAATAGCCACGATGCATATAGGCCAAGTCAGGACACGAACTGAATTCATGAGATCGGTGATGGGACTAAATCGTGAGAAGGATGTGTGCAATGATTTCAGAATATATCGATATGTAGCTTTGGACTTTGTGAATTTGACAATCAAGGACACATTGTGCAAAGGGATTGCTCACCTGATCTACACGAAGCTCTGGAGCTTAGTTATCCCCATCACGCGCCATCACAACCATCACGGCCCATCACATTCTCGCACGAGCGAAGCTGCGGGCTCGGCGCGGTAAACCGGATGTCCGCGGCGCCACACGTGGGCCGCCCGCGGGCCACACGCGCCGGTCGACCGCCGGCCATATCTGAGGCAGGATTGCGCCTCCCCCCCCCCTCCCCCGAACGGGGGGCCGGGTGTGGCTTGTGCAGACTGCAACGCCGGCGCTGGTGTGCTCGCACGTGAAGATTGCAAACGCACGTGCTTAAATTTATTTCATGACGTTTTTGGTGCTCGGTTCTGAGAACAGCATGAGATTTCCGGGTGAACACTACCCTGAAAAGACCTAGGCCAATACCGTGTACTCTCTGATCACATGATGGCTGCGTATGTGAATTAGAGCTCTGTTTGTCGTATACAAACACAAAAACTGCACAAAAACACTCACAAAGTTGCATTATTTGAAGACATAGAAATTGACCCCACTTCAGGTCACTCGCCTTGCCATTTTCGAGAAGTCTGAAAAATGAAACCTGTAGGTACTATCACGTTTAATTACTATAGCATGTTTGAAGAATGTCAAATAATATGCAACAAAGTGATATGTGGCCAAAGTTGTTTAGGGTTGATCTCTTTTACCTGACCTATGTCACTGACCTTGGTAGATGACAGCTTTGATTTGCTAAAAAGTATATCAAATTGATAGAACAAGAGGCACGGAAAAAATGGTGTTGGTGCAAGCGTTCTTTACTGAGCTGTGTCCGAAAAGCGTAAGGGGAAGTCAACTCTCGCCGGCAGGGCGCGGGTTAGCGGGCCTGTCTAACCATTCAGGGACCATTTGAACCCCCAGGCAATTATTCAGACGCAGACATTTTTTTTTCTGGCTGCTCAGGGTCCGAACCGTCTTGCCGAATGGGCGGAACAACGCGCAAAAGCCGTCCTTAAGCCTGCAGCTTGAAACGGCTCTCGCAAATCTCAATCTGGCACTACCAAACACGGCTCCAGATCATGAAACTGAGCCCTTCTGTCAGCAGGGTGTTCAAAATGAAGGTTACCTTCTGCCTGAAACGAAAAGTAACGGAACGCCCACAGAACTTCAAGCCGCGTTTAGCAAGCATCGTGCATTACACCGCATGCAAACGGGTCACGGGTCAAAACGCATCCACAAGGAAGGCATGAACTGCACGTGGCAGGCGTTGAGCTTTTCAATAGTCTCCGAGACAAAACATCCATTTTCAAAGCCGGAGCTATGACCATTCTAATTACAGCTACGATTGAATTGCGGGAAAAGCGCACTTACATGATTATCTGCTCCGACTCCAAGTCGGTTTTGCAATCAATCAGTGACACAGCTGATCAAAAGCACCACGTCGTTGACGCCATTGAGAAAGCGGTGCAGAAGCAACGTTCGGATAATACCTATCTCCGATACTTCGAAGACAGATATATTCAAAGACGGGAAATATGCATGTTGCGTGCACAACCGTTACGTCTGCGTACGGCATACATGGCAACAGAATTGCGTCAACGGCTGCTGCAGTGGAAAGGCTTGCCAACAAGTGGCGCCGCCTCGTTGTGTGGTCGCTAATGGAGTTATTTTGGACTCGTTTGCTCTGGATGCCAGATAACGCGGCAAGTGGCGCTGGGTTTGACGTGCGCTATTAGAAGTCTGCTTCAACAGCGGCGACAATGGGAACAGCTCTGTTAAAACAGATATGTTTCCTTCTTTGTAACTTCCCTGTCACCATAATATAACATCCATGGAATAAATTAGCTGCGGTTTTCGTGCTGCGTCATTCCAGGTCAGATAATGCCGAATCAGACAAACGAAGGAAATTGCTAAAACAATTAGATGTGTGCGTAGTTAACATAATTCATATGACTCGAAACACATGATGGCAATTTGGTTTTCGGTTTGTGAAGCGATATGTGCTGGTAAGTTTGCTGCACATCCAGATGTGCTGCATTATGGCTCCGCTTACTAGTATGCTTGCCCCGTTATGTCACAGTTTGGTGTTTGTTTCAGAAACAAAAAAGAGAACTTTCACATGTCTTAAAGTCTTGCTTATCCGCGTCGATGAAAATATCATCGCGATCACAGTTCATCACAAATCATCAAGACGAATGTTTCGATGAATTTGTCATCAGTTTCAAAGAAATCGCTGACTTCTCTGATTTCTGCCAGATGTCTGACGTCTGCCGAGCTCAGTGTGTCCTCCGAGGTTCGGCCTTGTGTGGACCTCACCCGTCTGAATCGATTTTTTTCTCAGAAAAAAACCGATTACCCAACAAGAACACCTCACGAAGCCGTCTCAGAGGTGGAAATCCACTCCAACTTTTGCATGAAGATGGATGCAAGGTTTGAATACTTCCAGCTTCCCCTCGCCGAAGGAAACCAGGATCTGACTTAATGTATTACTCCATGCAGGGACACAACTTTTGTCGCGCCGTCATGGAATTGATCACGTCCGGCGGGGAACAACAGGCAAGGAAGTCACGCTCTGGGTGATATCCCACATGCACTCAAAACCGCGGGCGGCATTCTGGTGTACGAGAGGAACTACCCAAGCCACCTACAAGCCGTCATCAGCAATCACGCTCAATTCAACCAAGTTCGCCTTCACCGAACCAGGCACAGAATTCTGCAGGTTTGGCCTCTCTTCCTCCTTTTTTGGTCATAATGTGCAATGCCTCACTCGCAAACGAGCCCCGACTGAAAGGTTTCTACGCCTCGACGAAACTCTGCTGTCCCGTCCCTCGGCCGTCGCCGGCGGTTATTCAAGGCCGAACGGCCGTTTGACCACTTGGACTTGCCGCAGTAATGTATTGTCCCCGACCGACGATGCCATCCTGCACTGGTATCTCCACAACGGCTGGTCGGAGCGACCCGGAAATGACACGAAAGCATGCGCCATGCAAAATCATATGGCGCGCGTATCACGCGTCAGGCGCTCAATGATGGAGTTTGCTCTCTCCCACACGTTTGCACGTTTTGTGCCACGTTTTGGCACCCAGCACAAGCACACACTTGGAAGTGGCACGCTTCGATAAGGAACGGAACGGGCAGGATAACAGTGATTGGTCACACGCATCAAGTGTCCTGACGCCCTCGTGTTTAACTATAGATCTGGCTACCTTTGATGGGTTACACGTTTTGTGCTACATCTCGGCACTCAGAATTTGGAGCGACTCGGGGTGTTATGCCTTGACGAGGAACGTAACTGTCATTAGCCTGGTGAAAACATTAGCTGAAACGTGCCACCTGACGTGGCGCACTCGTGCTGGAAAATTAATTTGGTTGTTTTCGAAGAAATTGCATGTCAATGCGATATCTCAGCACCCAGGGAAACGTTGCAAGAGTGAAATGCTGCGATAGGCAAGCGAACGGGCAACCACGTGGCGCAACCTTTGAATTTTCCCGCGTCATTTGTCGCGCCCATACGAGCTGGCAAGACGGATTTTGCTATTTACGAAGATTTTCCCGTTTCGCACCACATTTCGCCACAGAGTCTACGAAAAGATTCGGGAGTGTCATGCGTCAGGACCGAGTGGAAGTGGGTATCGAGTGGTACCAAGGGTTTGGTTACATAAGTCAAGTGTCGCACTCACATGACTTTCGACGAGTTTGCACGTTTTGTGCCACATGTCGGCACCAAGGGCACGGACGTACTCGGAAGCCGCACGCAACGATAGTGAGTCAGACAATCACATGGTGCAGATTGTAGTGTTGCACGTGCCGCCTGTCACACGTGTGTGAACCAACAGACGTATTTGGCCGTTACCGACCGTTTTTTTGACGTTTCGCGCCATATCTCGGCACCCAGAGAAGCTGGAGGCGTTAATCAAACTGCAAAAAGTAAATAGTTCAAATTAATACGCTTTTAAAAAGCGCAGCGAAGCAAGCGTGCAAACGCTTGTGCAGTCTAAAGTCGTCCAAGAAATGCAAAGTACGTGGTGTGCAGGCGTGCTCAGACGCACCAGGCTTCACAACCATGCCCCCAATGTCGGTACTGTTGAGAGGGCCGCGGCCCGTGCTGAGCTGCGCCTTCGAGCCAGGGAGATCACGGAGCCATTCCACAACATCCGCCGTGCTGAGGAGGCGAGCACGAGTCGGCCTCCGAGTGCAGAGATCGGACTAGAGGCGGATGTCAACCGAGCCATCCGTCGTTACCGGTCGCGGGTGCAAGGGCCGCCAGCGAAGCCGTGGGATGTGGAAGATGTGACAGTAGGGTATACGGATACTCTCGCCCGACCCGTTGCCCCTTCTGGGAGATTTCTGCTGTACGAGTCAGGTGGACGGAGACTACCGTGGAAACGGATGCTGGTCTTTACTAGCAACTGAGGCCTTTACCCGCTGGCCGCTGGTAAAGAATTGGCGGCCGGAGGCACTTTCATGAGATCGCTTGACATTTTCCTGCAGCTTTACATAATCCACATCAGTGTGTTGGAACATGTTCCGCGCGCATGCGCCTTGCTGGGTGGAAATAAAACTGAAAATGCATACAGGCAGCTGCCGCATAACCTTAGGGTCGCTATAAAAAGAAGGTATCACGGCTATGAAGATGACGGCTTTCTAACGACCCATCTGGAGAAAGCTGCCATGAACGCGTTTGGAGAGATCTCCCAACGCAAAAACCACAGTGCGTGTTTTTCACTTGTGCAAGGAGTTGTGGAAGAAGATGAGGCTGGCCCCCAGACTGGGTACAAAGAAGATCCTTATCTCACTAAAGATGAAAGATGATGTTACGCCTTACCTGCTTTATCGCGCTCTTGGCACTGGTCTTCCCATTCATGGTGTGAGTTGAAACTGTGATGTCATTTGACGCATTGCGGCGGAGTCGACATTTTCTCTCTTCAACAAAAAATGTGCGATTGATTACGGTGGACACACCTTCCCAAAGAATGCTAGACGCTGCAAAAAT